GAGCGGCAGAGTGGAGATTGAAGCGCATGTTCTGGACTATCAGCACATCATTGAGTGTGATGTGCGTGCGGCTTCCCCGTGCCTTGAGCAAGACCATTCCTTGCGCGTTTGCGCGCAGGCGGGTGTTGTTGGCCACGGTGACGTAGGTGACCGTTGGGGTCGAGACGGCGTTGGAGACGAAACGCTCGAATCCGACCATGTGCTGCCCGCAACAGCTGTCCAGGTACCAGGTGTTGTAGCGCTTGTTGTTGACGCTTGTCTTTATTTCGTATATGCTCTGGAACCTTGATTGTGCAGAGAGAATCGTTTCTTCGCTGGGACGGGGAGTCTTGGGAATTAAGCCATTTGTTTCGAGGGAGAAGGTGTGTGGGGCGGTATTGTGGCCATTTGAGACCGGTTGAGAGGGTTGGGAAGATGTTCCCGCGTTGCCATTCCGCAACGTTTGGAGTCCTTGCTCCAAGTTGGTAAGTCGCTGAAGCAGTTGTGCGAGGACGGCGGTTCCGATCGTTGTCGTTTCCTCACTTGTCGTAGCCGGGTTGGGTTACGCTTCAGCAGGCAGATTCGTCTGACCTCCAGATTCTCCGGCCATCATTACACGTGATCGTGCGCCAAATGCCACCTTTCGATCGTCGAAGATTTCGGGGTTGGCAGTGCGAAGGATTCCCGAGTCGCTCTCATACCATGCTGCGATCAGAAGTCGATCGTAACCAGGATCACCTCGGAAAGGTTCGCACACAAGTGAATGGTGGTGGTGGGCCCTTGACCTCAATTTAGAGTGAATGTAAAATGATTGAGATGATTAAAACATGCAAATGCATGCATATAAATAAGAGTACATGTGGAATATGAAACGGCCTAACTAGCCATATACTATAAGGGGTACATTCCCTTATTACAGCGAAATCCAATCGTGCGACTCCAGACGGTTACTGGACTGTTCGGGCAAAATCCTTGCCACTCCTGCTGCCTGATGCTGTCCGCCCTGGCGGTCCAGATGCACCGTAACCGTACGCGACTCTTCGCGTCATTTTGTCTCTTCGCATTCAGCCTCGGTATTGTGCACTTCTCTTGCTTCGGTTAAGAGTGCATTCTCCTTTCACTGTTCGTAACAGAGTCAACTCAAATTAGACCATATTTATGTACAGTTCATAAGTATAAGAAAACAATCTTCAAATGGTAGCGCTTAAAGTGTTCCCCTTTTTCTAGTAATATTGTGCTCAAAAAGATTTTCATAACAATTATCAGTATAGTTATGTATTCATTTTGGTGTGGTCCTATAAATAACTGTATATACAATTATTATAAATATAGATAACCTATTCAAGTTGAACACAGCTTTAGTTATAGAGTATGACATATTTGTTGCCTCCAGCCAGATTCGAACCCATGACCTTCGATGTATCAACTTGGTTCAGCGCTTGGATCGAACCTTGACCTTCCACATGCACCGGTTGTCGCGACTCTCAGGGAACATTTTGAGTGTCACGGTTTTGACCATTAAACTTAAACAGTTTGGGGAGTCCCGAAAGCTGCCGTGGGGATTGGGTAGTTTGAACTAAGCCATGGAAGGAATAACCAGGGAAAGTAGGGGCCTTGGGGTCGGTTTTTTGGAAAGTATACGTTAGTTCCAGGTGGAGCCAGTTGAGCCAACGCTTGAAGATTCTAAGATGAACCCGATACAGAACTTCAGAGGGCTATACAGGACGAATTCCCTTGTAGCGACAGGCATGGTCCAGACTTCAGGGATTGCGCAGAACACTCTGGCAGATCAATGTAGAATTTGAGCCCACTTTCTGTACTTTTCTGACCTGATGCTGCAGACTAAAAAATGCGAACCATACAGAGTTCTCGTTAATTTCCAAGTCCAGCATCTGATTGACTAAGTGCTTTGTTCCGTACCATCATCCGAGTGGCAGCTGTTTCTGTCCTCCTGCTTGTCGGGAGCATAGCAAAACGAGTGATTTTTTCTAAAACAAAGGGGTACCCCACGAGGGTGACCTTTATGGTATCCCTCATTTTCAAACATTTTATATTTCACGATGCGGTCATGCTTGGTGACGGACAAAAAGATGACGGACAACTAGCTGTGAAGTGTCGGGATTTGGGGGAACGGACAACAAGGCGTTTAGGGTGACATTTGCCGCAGCCTTTGCCGCTTCGTACACCAGGGAGGAAGCTGCCGTGGTCCGGCGGCGGCAAAGCGCAGCTTCGGGTCAACGGAGCTCGCCTGCTGTTACTGATCTAGTTTTAATATCCACCAATCAGAAGTACGGAAACTGGCAGCATGGGACCTTCGTGCCATGTGAGAAACGCGAGCTTGGGAGGCGGCCGAGCCCGCCAGCCAGCCAACCAGCCACCAACAGCCAATCGCATGCAAACCGAGAGTGCACAGTACTACAGCACAAGGCTGAACTGTAGATCGGGGGAGCGTGGGGGAGGGGTGGGGGGTGTGGGCGGTTGTGGGGGGAGGGGATTACTGTACAGTACAGTCCAGAACATGCGAGTGAGCCATATACAGTAGGACCGTACGTGCATTTGGTGAAGCTGTCTACACCTGATGCTCTTTCAGGGGGCCAAATTGTTTGGCCAAATAAGCCTCACCTGGGCAGGGTGTTTTTCATGGACAAATTTGGCTTCAGGTTGTGTCTATGATAAATGAGTAGCTACGCTTGTTTGTTTTCCGAAAGCTTCGTAACGTTTCTGCAATTTTACATATCACAGTAGTGAGTGTCGTAGCAGTGTATTGCGCGCGGGCCTGTAACGATTGGGCCATTGCCTGTAAACCCCGACCAGTTGGAGTGTCGAATGTAAGTGCGATTGAAAAAGACAAGCGGTTTCGCGAGCATCATCTGTAGTTTGGTATATCGAGCCCAACCCAGCCCAGCCCAACCCAGCTAAACCCAACCCTAGCTAACCCAAACCGGCCTAACCCAACCCAAACCCTGAAGGAGGCCACCTTTGCAGAACCATTGTGCATGCTTCCTTCCCCAGTGTGACCTCTCCGCGGATGCTCAGTGATTCTACTAAGGCCAAAGTATCCGCGCGGAACTTGCCGCCCAAGTGCGCTCATACTCTCGAAATTGGGTTATCATTTGAGTAGTCACCAATATTATGCTGCATAATTGGACGAATTTCAAAAGTCGTTGTTTTTCTGAAAGCAATGCGCACTTCAATGGATATCACCACTGCTGTTACTAGTACTACTAGTAACAACTGCCCTCGTTGTGTTCTTGGAGAGGGTTTTCCGCCAGGATTTAGATTCCGGCCGACGGACGAGGAGCTGCTGTGTTACTACCTCAGGCGGCGCGTGGAGGGCCTTCCCATTGCATGGAATGCAATTGGCGACGTTGATATGTACAAGTTCGAGCCTTGGGAACTGCCAGGTACTGCCATCGTCGGCCTTTTTAGTGTTTTATCTCTTCCCAGACCCCAGACAACCCCCCTCCTCCCCTCCCACCTTCTGGAACTTCACATTACATTCCCCCTGTGTGGGTACTTCCGAGTACCACCGGGCCACCTGAAGTGCCACTCATCCCCTTTCAATTCTCTCTCCCAATTCAGTGGTCGAATCCAGGGACAAGCCCCAATGCAGCTGTCAGCAATTTGGTGCAGACGCAAAGCTCCTCCTCATCTCATCTCCCCTTCAATATCAGGCAGAGAAAATCAGGCCCCACAGCGCAGACAAAATCTGGACCTCTTTGCTTGACAGGACCCCCTCTTCCCCCAACAACACTCAAGTACCCCTTCCCCTATGCCCATCTCATCTTTAGCTCCATCCACAGCGTTACTTCGAACATACCCAAACGTTGAAAACAAGTTGCGCTTCGTTGCATCCCCAGGAGTCCTCTCTCTCCATCACGTCATTTCCTCTTCCACGCCCACCTTGCCCTGTACCAGGTGGCAAGTGATTCTTTCTTTGCTGCACCACTCACTCCTCACTCAACCCACTCTCCTCTCTCCCTCTGCACCACCCAGAGCCAGAGAGACATTCCCTATTTCTGGAGACAGCGAGTGGTTCCTAGTCACATTCCGCGACCTCATCGATTATCTTCCTCTCTTTTCTCTCCCTCTCCTCCACTCCCAGCCAGGGCAAAATGCCCTATTCCTGGTGACGGCGAGTGGTTCTTTTTCACATCCCGTGACCTCAAGTACCCATCAGGGTCTCGATCCAACCGTGCCACATCTGCTGGGTACTGGAAGGCCACTGGGAAGGACAGACCAGTGCACGTGCGCTTCACAGGCAGCAGCGTTGATAGTGAAGGCAAAAGGGAGCAGACAGTCAGGGCGGGAATAAAAAAGACTCATGTCTTTTATATGTGAGTTCCTCCAGCATCTTGATCTCCGCCTCTCAGGCATCAGCAACCCCCCTGCCTTTATGTAGGTGTCAGGTGTCCGGGTTGTTTGTTTGAGTCTTGGTCAGCTTGCTGTTTGTTAAGTTTGTTGTTGGATTGCTTGTTCTGGCTTAGAAAGAAATGTTCGGGTCTTTGGACAATGCTTGAGTGGCTGAATCAATCTTCATCTGGCAAGTCGTCCGAATCTTTTTTTTGTTTTGTTTTTGTTTTTGTTTTTTTTGTAATTTTGCTGGTGTGGTCAACAGGGGACGAGCGCCAGGAGGGGACAAGACTGACTGGGTCATGCACGAGTACCGGCTGGCAGAGGATTCGCCTGAAGCTGGACCTGCTGCTACAGACGTAGCACGAGCTACAGCTGCAGTGAGCGAATCAGACCAAGCAGCAGTCGCTACACATAGCACCACACCTGGTGTGGTTGTCGCTGGTGGCACTGCCATAGGCCGGACCGGCAGCAGAACACACGAAGCGACACATACAGACACTGGTGCAGGAGGTGATGTAGTTGGTGGCTTGGGCAGGAGCAGTAGCAGCAGCCCCAAAGCCAATAGTCCAAGAACCGAACCTGGCAGCGATCGAAGGATTGGCACGACGTCATGGGTGGTTGTGCGGGTGCTAAAGCGAAGCTCCCTGACAGAGGAGGAAGAAGTGATGGTGGCAAAGCAAGCTGTGGTAGCAAAAGCGGTGGTGTCACGGAATGAGATGGTAGAACAGCAGACGATGGTGATGCAGCAGCAGTGTGGGTCTCCTTCATCAAAAGGAAAACAAGAGAGGGACGAAGAGGCACCAGTGGCAGGGTACCATGCGGGTTTATCAGTGCATGGCCTGCACTTAAGAGGTGATTCACCCTCACAAGATTCTCCTCAGAATAACTCCCCAACCACCCTGTCCCAGAACTCATCTTGGTGCGCAATGCCTGTGGATGTGCAGAGCAGTGATGTGGCAAGCCTAGCACCAGCTGTAGGTGCAACGATGCCTGTGGTTTCGGCGGAGGAAGACGCATCAATAGTGGCAAAGGTGGCAAAAACAGGAGCATCAGAGGCATCAGCAGTCGAAGCAGTACCAATGGAGGTAGAAGGAGCAGGAGCAGCAGTGGGAGCAGATAGGGAAGGCAGCAGCTCAGCAGACAAGCAGCAGAAAGGCAGCAGACAAGCAGGGGTGTTGTTGAAGGGCCCGTTCTGCCCAGAGAACTTGCCATCTTTCAAGCACTATCTGTCTGAATTAAAACCACCTGTAAGCGGCAGGAGTGATGGTGGTGTGGATGGCGGGGATGGAATGGGAGAGCAGCAGCAAACGGAAGAGGAGCAGCAGATGCGAAAGGAGCAGAAGAAGCGGGAAATGGCGAAAAAACTGGACTGGAGGGTATAACTGGACAGTAGCGAAGAGGACGGGCAGAAGGTGCAGGAGAAGGGTGATCAAGAGCAGGTACGTTGGCACGTGGAACATAAACAAGCGACCAGAAAGAAGAAAACGAACTGGCAGAGGCTGACAAGCAGGCAGGAGCAGCAGATAACCACTCCCCAGCATCAGAGGGACCTACAGCAAGAAGGGCCGACTGGTGCAGCTTCTCCTGCTGCTCCTGATAATACGGCTGCTGCAGCTGCTGCTGGTACTGCTGGTGCTGCTGGTTCAGGTGAAGGAGGTGACAGGTCAGCAGATCCAGATATCCGTGTGGAGGATCTGCAAGAGCTAGCTGACATTCTCAACTCCCTCTTGCGAACTCAGGTCACCAGCACCACACCTGCTACCACAACTTCCCCTAAGGCCGCTTCCAGTGCCGCTGCCGCCACTGCTCCTACTGTTCCTCCCCCTGCTGCTGCTGCTTCCACTGCCACTGCCACTGTGGCTCATTTGGTTGCAAGTGAACCCCAACCCTTGGGAGGGTCAGGACCTGGTGTGGTCCCAACAGGTGCTGCGCCTTCTGCTTCTCCTGAGGTAGCTTCTGCAGCTCGCAGAGTTGAGTCTGGAGGGTTTCAGGACAGCACAGCAGCGATGTCTCTGAGGATAGCACGTGCTCATTCATTCGATGCATCCTTACATGCAGCCGCATCGCCCTCTGTAGCACCCTCAACAGCACCCCCGCGGGGGAAAAGGCACAAAGGACAGCAAGGGGGAAAACCTGGGGACCAGGACCAGCAACGCCAGCAGCAGGAGGAGGAGAGGCAACGTCAGCAGCAGCAGCAGCAGCATGCTGAATTCCACCAGCATCAAACACTTCAGCAGCAGAGACTTAGTCCAGATCAGCCAAACCAGCAACAGCCTACAGTAGAAGAACACTCCGAATGCAAGCAAGACCATGGGGACGAGCCCAGGGCTGATTACCCATGGCTAAGGGCTCAGGAGCACATGCCTCAGCAGCAAGGAATCAGTCCTGATCTTCCATGGCAGAGAAGCGTTTCTTGTCCCGTTGTCTCTCTACCACTGCAGGCTCCCAGTGAAGGCATCAACCAGTATGAAACGCCCTTTCGCACCTCCCACAGCCTAGAGTATCACCAATCCCAGTCGATGCATGAAGAGCTGGAGGGACAGGGAAGGTTGTATGGGAGGTATTTTAGCGACCTGCTGCATGCCAGTGTGTGGGAGATCAGAGAAACGGAGGTGGCTGGAGAAGAGGTGGAAGGAGAGAGGATGGGACAGTGGGGTGGCTTGGAGGGAATGACCCGTAGCAGCAGCTGGGGCGCAGGAGCACATGGTTTGGGGATGGATCATGGAGAAGACAGCTTGACAGCAGGTGTGAGAGTTGGAGCAGCAGGAGTCGCAGCAGCAGGAGTTGCAGCAGTAGGGATAGAAGCAGCAGGGGTAGTAGCAACAGGGGTAGCAGCAGCTGGTTCAGGAATGGCAGTGACAGCAGAGGGAGATGCAGCAGGAGGGATAGAACCAACCGGTGCAGTGGTGGAGACAGTAGGGTTGGGAGTTGCAGCTATGAGAGTAAGAGAAGGAGGGGGAGTGGAAGGAGGAGAAGGAGGAGATGATATGATGACGTCGGTACATGGGATGGAACTAGAGGAGCTGGAGGCACTTCTACTAGATGTGGATGAGGACGACAACATGGAAATCAGCAGCAGCATGGTCAGTGGGTTCAGCCACCACTCCAGTACCAGCATAGACTGCCGCGCCGCGCTCCCCGTTGACTCTGGTGTTCCACCCAGCGACGGTCAAAACAGCAGCAATGATAACCATAGCACCTCCAATCTGACGCGTGCTGGCGACACAACTGCAGGTGAACAAGTGGGATTATTCACAGGACCGGCACCATCCGTAGCACTGGGACCATCATTGGGACAGAGATTTTCTGTGTTCACGCCAATGTGTAATGGGTCTGGAGTCTCATTTGCATCAGAGGAGGGGACTGCTGCTGCCATGGCTGCGTATCCCACTACCAATACCACTGGTGGCAGTGATGGCACGTGGTCTAAGGGGCATGAGACTTTGCTGCTGCCAGAACCATTCTTCCCAGCACGAGCAGTGGTAGGGACAGGAGGCCGGCCACAGACAGGAGGAGCAGCTGAAGAATCTGGAGGATTACCAGCAGCAGCAGGAGCAGCAGCATCAGGGGCAGCAGCAGCAGGGGCGGCAGCAGCGGCGGCGGCAGCAGAAGCAGCAGGTGCAGCAGCAAAAGCAGCGGCACCAGCGGCAGAATCAGGAGAAGCAGCAGCTAGAGAAGGTGCAGAGGTAGTCACTGCAGGCAGGATTGTCAGTGCAGCAAGGGAGACTCCGATGGGGAATCATGGATTGGGCAGCAGCCAGGGCCTTGGAAGGATGCTCTCTCCCAAAAGGAGTCGTGAAGAGGACTGTTGAGTCTTGCTGCAAGCAGCTGTTGTATGGGCGGGTATGTTCCGTGGAGCTAGTTGGGTTGGTTGCTGAAATTTCTAAATAACCGGCTTGTCTCAAAAGGAGTCATAACGAAGACTGCTGAGTCTTGCTACAAGCAGCTGTTCCATAAATGGGTGCATTTCCTGGGGTTGTGACAGCTGGCTCAGATCTAACGGCAAGGGGGGTCAACGTCTGACAAGGTGGGTACTATACTTCGATTCCAGAAAAGTGCGGTCAATACCTCCCTCCTTCCATTAATCGGCCGGATACAATACATAGGATTAGCTGAATACGGATGTGTGTAATAAAATGTGAGTGTGTGTGTGTGTGTGTGTGTGTGTGTGTGTGTGTGTGTGTGTGTGTGTGTGTGTGTGTGTGTGTGTGTGTGTGTGTGTGTGTGTGTGTGTGTGTGTGTGTGTGTGTGCGTGTGTGTGTGTGTGTGTGTGTGTGTGTGTTTCTTCCTTTTTTTCTTTCCTTTTTAATTGGTTTGCTTCCCATGAAACTTACAATGCAACTTCTGGTTTACTCGCTCTGAGTCGACATAAGAGAGAGATTTGGGTATTCAGGTACAGCAGGAGCAAGAATTGGGGTTGGGAGAAGTTGTGTTAGTGGACTCAAAAGCCATATTGAGCCAAGCCAATAAATGTGCCTTCGAAGGTGGGTTGGGGTGCCGCTGTGGCCTGGGATGGAGCTGGCAAATAATGGATAAATATAGAGGAAGAAATGCACTGTTCCAAATAAGGGGTCGTTCGCAGGTCATTCTTTAGATTCTTTTCTTACAACTCGGTTGCTGTTGCAATTATGCAATGTGCTTGCATGTCATAATTGGCGTGGCTGTCTAACCAAGAAAGCAATACGTATGTATGGGATAAGTGGTAACAAAGAAAATGCAAGTGGCCAATATACAGTGCATATCAAAGCAGTGACTTCATAGCCAAGCAAAATGCCACACTATAGCATTCAGAATTCAGAATCTAGCAGACATAAAAAGACAGTTCAGGAATCCCAGCCATACCAATTCATCTTGATAGCGCAAACAAAAGAGGCAAGCCGACGCCAAGGCTAGTCCTTCGTTTGACAGTGCCGCGAGTGTTGTTTGACTCTGCTCACAAGCCACTTAACTTGACTTGATAATCAGCGGGAGTTGTCCGTGGACCGGCCAGGAACGTTTCTGCCAGGTCCGAGTCTAGTAGCAAACACCTGGGCAAAGAGGGCTTTGCAAATGTAAGTAGCATTTGAAGTGGGGCCTTTTAGACAACCTTGGGTGGGCTTGGGGAAGGGGGAGAGGGGGGGCGGGGGGGGAGGAGGCCTGGGAGGTGGGTGCGGAGAGTGACTCTACACTGGGGTAGCTGAACTACGTGGGAAGGCACGGGTGGTACGGTACGTATAATCGTACCGTCATCGCCCGGATATAAGACATGCATGTCTTATCTTATACACTAGAGGGCTGTCTTGTATTGGGGGAGGTTTTGGATGTCTTAAAGTCTTATAAGTGGAAACATTTTAAATACTTCAAATAATTTTCACACATCTTGAAATGAGTTCCTCATAATGAGTGTGAATGTTGCAAAGGTTCTTATTTTGGCAACCATTGTTCAAGACGGCACGTCATGGAGGATGCCTGCAAAGGCAAATTTTGTAATACTTGAGTCAGCACGTGGCAGAATCCACGTTTCGGAAGGGTAAAAATGTACGCGGTATTTCATTTTTCACTATAGTATACTGCAATTTCGATTATAAGACACATATGTCTTTACACGTACACGCACATAGGTATCTTATAATCGAGAACATCCATTTATATGAAACACCAGTTTTAAAGACAACCCCAGTCTTCTATTCAACAATGTCTTATATCCGGGCGATGACGGTAGCTTTGCTCATATTCCCTCTACTTGCGCTTTTACAGGACACATTAGCAAGAGTTTGAGTAGCAAAAATTGGGATCACAATGATACAATAGCAATGGCAAAATGTGACTACATCTGGGACATAACAAGCCTAACAAGCAAGCAGGTCGACTTCCAGCTGAGCACGAGGGCAGCCCGCCAGCATGGCAAGTCGGCGGCGTGACAACGCACCTTAAAGGTAGCTTGACATCACTGCAAGGCGGTGATCTGCCAGCATTGCACTGAGGCGGCTTGCCAACGCTGAATTAGGGCGGCCTGCCAGCGTTGCACCCACATGTGCACGCACGCAGGTTGACGATCGAGCGCATCGTGCACCGTCACACGCATCACGCGGATCCCAAATCGGCCATGTGCCGTCAGTTGCGCCCGATGCACCACATCAACCTTGGGATATCAGGCCGCAGGCCGACTTCGCCAAAGCATCCAGGACAATGTTCGCGCACCTGCAGAACTTCGTCGCCCTGGTTACTTGGTTGACCAATGAAGCCCCAAAGTTGGCGCCGACCTGGTAGTTGGCCATGGCTCGTAGGTCGACGAACTGACCGCCTAGGCCGAAGCTGTCCGCTGACTTCACAGTGGTCCCATAGAGGAGTTTGACGTCCTCTGTCGACTACCTTCCCAAAGTTGACGTCGACCACTGCAGGCTGCCGGCTGAACACACGACTGCGAGGTCGGCTTTGCCCAAATGAGGGAAATACTATTTCTTGTCAACACTATATGTCAGAACCAGTAGTAGAAAGTAAGAATGAAGAAAGGAGGGGGGATTTCACTAGCAAGCAGTTGGATATATATAGCAAACCCTAATTGGGCTGTACTCACTATGGAGTACCCCACTGCAGGCTAGACAATAATAACATTCTGACACTCCCCTGCCCAGCACACGCTTGGGCACACATACACGAGTTCCGCCCAGAACACGCTTCGTCAGGATGTGTTGCAGCATAACCTTCTTGCGCTCGACCATTTGCTGCAGCCACACTTCGCGTTGCTCCATATGCTTGATGTTGCCCTTCAGCCCCGAGCCTTCGGCGACCACGATAGCCAACTGGTTGACCACGTTCAAGACAGTCGGCATCCCAGTGTTGAGCAACTGGAACTCGGTGAGGAGAAAGCGAAGGCGGAGACATTCCTTGCAGGTTTCCGTAGCCGCGATATACTTCGACTCCGTCGACGATGGAGTCACGCACTTGATGCGCTGACTCTTCCAGGAGACGGCGGCCCCACCAAAGATAAAGACGTGGCCATTCGTTCTACTACACGCCTGCTTGTTACCGATTAAGTTGGCGTCTGTGTACCCGACCAGACGCAGCGACACAGGTCCGCTGCCAAACTCCAGGGTGACGTCACGCATTTCGGCGAGGTTCAGCTCCAAGTTGTGGCCTAACTTGAATGAGCCACATATGTTCTCCCATAATTCCCTAACCATGTTATCACCACAGACAACAGACCAATGTCCGTGATCAGACCCCGCCTTCCGTGGTGTGTACCCCAAGCGCCACAACTTACTTCGCCACATCGACGTCGTTCTTGGCGCATGATGCAGGCAATTCCCCTCATAACCCATCTCCCAAAGCGAGAGGAAATGGCGCGAGTGGCTATCATTTTCTTGCAGTGGTATACTGCATGCTTCAGGGTTCTCTTCTATACCGAGCAATCGCTCGCTTATGTGAGCCCCCAGGTTGTCTGCTACACAGATGATGTGGATTAGGCACAAACCGGCTCGACACCACGAAAGAAACGCTAGTAAGCCACACGTCATCCTTGTTGTGATGGTAGGCTAGTGGGGGCTCACGGGGCAGGAAACACCAAGTTGCGTTTAGAGTGGAGACTGGTCAAAGTCTGTCTTCTCTTGCATCTGACAACCACAATCCGTGACCGGGCCATGCCTCTGCAGTTTCGGTGCAATTTATCATACCGTTCTGTTCTATTTAGCAATGACATTCCTAGGACAAAATCGAACCTTGCCATGCTTTTAATTCCAACTTAAATATAGTACTATAAAATCAGGACATCAAGAAGTACATGTTGGAACTGTAGCGAGGCAGAGGGATAACTCAAAGTATCAAGCGGGAGAATGGGATCCGTTGGCTGTGCGAAGGCACCGTTGCAGCAGAACGGTGACCACCGCCATAATTTACTTAAGCATTAGGCTAGGAGGTGCTCTTTGCTTGTGTGTTGGTTTTCACAACCAATATGTAATTGAGACTAGCGAACAACCACTAACCATCCAGGTGGAGCCAAACCCCGCAAGCATTTGGCACAGAGTAGTGACAAGGGAGAGCCAGCCGAGCTGGCCCATAGAGGCCTCTCCCCCTGCTGAGACGGGAGAGGATACCGTACTTTTAAGTGGATAGTGCTAGGAAGACAGGGAGGATGCCCAGGGAGCTTAGGGCATTGCTGGAGTGAGGGCAGCAAGGACAAGAGAACAACAAGGCAGGAGGAGGAACAAAAGCAACAGGAGGAATGATTTCCGACAACCCTTTTCATTTGAAACAAGCATTACGGCATGTTATCTCCAACCCTGCTACCGCAGCACCCCACCTTAAATGGGCACTTTCTTTGGATGGTTCCTGTCTCTAGATGGTTCCTGAGTCGCCTTGCAGTACAACATCTTCCATCCCCTCTTCTTGCTCCTGCTCAACCTGAGCTCACGAATCCCTTCTTTCTGTCATCTCAGAACGAGAATAGAAGTAAGTCAAAGCATGAACATTAATTCCATAGCAATCCAAAGTAGCCCCCTTTCCCCCCCCCCCCCCTCCCTCCCACACCCCCCCCGCACATCTTTCCTCAGCTAATCCTTTATTTTTTTCAATTCTCCCCCCTAGTCACGCATCCACTCTAACCGTTCAATCTGAGCCAGCTGTCACCATCCAATGCACACTACCATAAGAACACAACCCCCCATGTCAAAAAGCTGCCTGCGGCAGGACTCAGCAGTCCTCTACATGACTCCCTTTGAGAGAAAACATCCTTACAATGCTCTGGCTGCTGCTCAAACCGCGATTATAAATTTCTGGCTCCCCTGATACAATGACAATCGTTCCTGTAGTGGCTGCTTCTGTATCTGCTCCTCCTGCTGCTTTTCCTGGTTCTGCTGCTGCTGCTGCTGTGTGATAAGCGGCTATGTCCACAGCTACCTTCTTTTCTGATGCGAATTTGCCTCCAGACCCACCATGCACTGGCGAGAACATGGGCAATCCCTGCCCCACTGATGAACCCAGCGCCACGGATGGTGACTAATGAGTCGACTCAAAGGTCACCTTTTCTGATGCATATTTGCCTCCAGAACCACCATGCACTGGCGAGAACAAGGGCAATCCCTGTCCCACTGACGACCCCAGCGCCACGGATGGTGGCAGTCCCACAGCGGTGCCAGTCCTGTGAATGATCCCATGAGTTCACCTGCACTTGTGTCGCCAGCATGTGTCAGATTCGTGGTGCTACCATGACCGTTGCTGCTGTTTTGACCGTCGCTGGGTGGAACACCAGAGTCAACGGGGAGCGCGGCGCGGCAGTCTATGCTGGTACTGGAGTGGTGGCTGAACCCACTGACCATGCTGCTGCTGATTTCCATGTTGTCGTCCTCATCCACATCTAGTAGAAGTGCCTCCAGCTCCTCTAGTTCCATCCCATGTACCGACGTCATCATATCCTTTCCTCCTTCTCCTTCCACTCCTCCTCCTTCTCTTACTCTCATAGATGCACCGGCTGCTGCAACTCCCAACCCTACTGTCTCCACCACTGCACCGGTTGGTTCTATCCCTGCTGCTGCATCTCCCTCTGCTGTCACTGCCATTCCTGAACCAGCTGATGCTACCCCTGTTGCTACTACTGTTTCTACCCCTGCTGCTGCGACTCCTGCTGCTCCAACTCCCACACATGCGGTCAAGCTTCCTTGTCCATGATCCATCCCCAAACCATGTGCTCCTGCGCCCCAGCTGCTGCTACGGATCATTCCCTCCAAGCCACCCCACTGTCCCATCCTCTCTCCTTCCACCTCTTCTCCAGCCACCTCCGTTTCTCTGATCTCCCACACACTGGCATGCAGCAGGTCGCTAAAATACCTCCCATACAACCTTCCCTGCCCCTCCAGCTCTTCATGCATCGACTGGGATTGGTGATACTCTAGGCTGTGGGAGGTGCGAAAGGGCGTTTCATACTGGTTGATGCCTTCACTGGGAGCCTGCAGTGGTAGAGAGACAACGGGACAAGAAACGCTTCTCTGCCATGGACGATCAGGACTGAGTCCTTGCTGCTGATGCATGTGCTCCTGAGCCCTTAGCCATGGGTAATCAGCCCTGGGCTCGTCCCCATGGTCTTGCTTACTTATGGAGTCTTCTTCTGCTGCAGGCTGTTGCTGCTGCTGCTGCTGATCAGGACTGAGTCTCTGCTGTTGAAGTGTTTGATGCTGGTGGAATTCAGCATGCTGCTGTTGCTGCTGCTGCTGCTGCTGCTGCTGCTGCTGACGTTGCTTCACCTCCTCCTTCTGCTGCTGCTGCTGGCGTTCCCGGTACTCAGATTTTCCCCCTTGCTGTCCTTTGTGCCTTTTTACCCGCGGGGATGCTGTTGCGGGTGCTACAATGGGTGCTACAGAGGGTGCTACAATGGGTGCTACAGAGGGTGTAACAGAGGGTGCAACAGCTGCATGTAAGGGGGTGTAATCATCATGCTCCTGCTGCTGCTGCTGCTGCTGCTGTTGCTGCTGCTGCCGCTGTTTCTCCTCCTTCTGCGGCTGCTGGCGTTGCTGGTCCTGGTACCCAGATCCCCCATGCTGTCTCTTGTGCCTTTTCCCCTGCTGGGATGCTGTTGAGGGCGCTACAGAGGTTTCTACGGAGGGTGCTACGGAGGGTGCTACAGAGGGAGCAACAGTTGCATGTAAGGGTGTGTTGAATGAAAGCTCACGTGCTATCCTCAGATTCCTTGCTGCCGTGCTGTGCTGGAACCCTCCAGACTCAACTCTGCGAGCTGCAGAAGCTACCTCAGGAGTAGCACAAGGCGCAACACCTGTTGGGACCACACCAGGTCCTGACCCTCCAGACTCAACTCTGCCAGCGGCAGCAGCAGCTACCCCCGGCATAGCAGAAGGTGCAAAATCTGTGGGAACCACACCAGACCCTGATCCCAAAGCGTGGGTTTCACCTCCAAGCAGATTAGCAGCAGGGGCAGCAGCAGCAGAAGCAGTAGCAGGAGGGGTAGGTGGAGAAACAGTAGGAGCGGTGGTGGCAGCAGCACTGGAAGCAGCAAGAGGAGCGGCCATAGGCAACGTTCCAGTGGCAGCAGGTGTGGTGCTGGTGACAGTAGGAGCAGTGACGGCAGCATCACTGGAAGCGGGCCTAGAGGAAGTTGTGGTAGCAGGTGTGGTGCTGGTGACCTGAGTTCGCAAGAGGGAGTTGAGAATGTCAGCTAGCTCTTGCAGATCCTCCACACGGATATCTGGATCTGCTGACCTGTCACCTCCTTCACCTGAACCAGCAGCACCAGCAGTACCAGCAGCAGCTGCAGCAACAGCAGCATCAGCAGCAACAGCAGCACCAGCAGCACCAGCAGCAACAACAGCATCAGCAGCAACAGCAGCACCAGCAGCAGCTGCATCAGACGAATTATCAGCAGCAGTAGAAGAAGCTGCACCGGTCGCCCCTTCTTGCCGTAGAGCCCTCTGCTGTTGGGGGACTAGCTGGGGAGTGATAACCTGCTGCGCCTGCCTGCTTGTCAGCTTCTGCCAGTTCGTTTTCTTCTTGCTGGTTGTTTGCTTGTGTTCTACCTGCTCTCGATCACCCTTCTCCTGCTCGTTCTTCCCGCCCTCTTGTCTACAGTCCAGTTCAACCCTCCAGTCCAGTTTTTCCGCCATTTTCCGCTTCTTCTGCTCCTCTTCCGTTTGCCGCTGCTCTCCCATTCCATGCCCGCCCTCCACACCACCATTACTCCTGCCGCTTCCAGGTGGCTTCAATTCAAACAGATAGTGCTTGAAAGATGGCAAGTTCTCCGGGCAGAGCGGGCCCTTCAAGAACTCCCCTGCTTGTCTGCTGCTTTTCTGCTGCTTGTCTGCTGAGCTGCTGCTTTGCTTGTCTGCTCCCAATGCTGCTCCTGTTCCTTCTACCTCGATTGGTGCTTCTTCGACTGCTTCGCCCTCTGCTGCTCCTTTTCTTGCCACCTTTGCCGCTATTGATGCGTCTTCCTCCGTTGGACCTACAGGCATCGTTGCACCTACAGCTGCTTCTCGGTTTGCCACAGCGCTGCTCCGCACATCCACCGGCTTTTGAGTCGACTCAAAAGTTGCCACAGCGCTGCTCCGCACATCCACCGGCATTGCGCAGCAAGAGGAGTTGGGGGACAGGCTGCTCGCGAGGGTAGTTGGGGAGTTACTCTGCGGAGAATCTTGTGAGGGTGAATCACCGCTAAAGTGCACGACATGCACTGATAAACCCGCATGGTACCCTGCAACTGGTGCCTCTTCGTCCCTCTCTGGTTTTCCTTTGGGTGAAGGAGCCCCACACTGCTGCTGCATCACCATCGTCTGCTGTTCTACCATCTCATTCCGTTCCACCATCATCACCTGTGCTACCACAGCCTGTGATACCACAGCCTGCTTTGCCACCACCAGCTCTTGCTCCTCCTCTGTCAGGGAGCTTCGCTTGAGCACTCTCACAACCACCCACGTCCTGCCGATTCTTCGACCGCTCCCAGGTTCGGACTTTGGACTGCCGGCTTTAGGACTGCTCGTGGTGCTGTTCCTGCCTGACCCACCACTTAGATCTCCACTTGCATCAGCCGCACCGCTGGTGTCTGGGTTTATCGCTTCACTTTTTCTGCTGCTGGTTCGGCCTGTGGCAGTACCACCACCTGCTGCATCTGCACCAGCCGAGGTCCCTTCGGGGGTAGTAGCACCTGTAGCTGCTGGGTTCGATTCGGCTTCTGCAGCTGTAGCGCGTGCCACGTCTGTAGCAGCAGGTCCAGCTTCAGGCGAGTCCTCTGCCAGCCGGTACTCGTGCATCACCCAGTCAGTCTTGTCCCCTCCTGGCGCTCGGCCCCTGTGCCACACCAGAAAAACGACAAAAAAAACACACACACACACACACACAAAAATTGGACGACATAATGAAGAGTGATTCAACCACTCAAACATGGTCCAAAGACCTGAACATTTCATTCCAAGCCCGGTCTTGTCCCCTCCTGAAGCTTGTCCCGTATTCCAAAGAAACAAACAATCTTTCTAAAACCCCCCAAAAAAAAAACTGTAACGAGAAAACATAAGACCAGAGGAAGCAGTCTAGAGACTCAAACACACAACCTGAACACCTGCTCTCTACATGAGGAGTGCGGAGAAATTGCAGCACTGAACTCACATGTAGAAGACATGAGTTCTTTTCAAAACCGCTATGACTGTCTGCACCCTTTTTCCGTCGTTAACACTGCTGCTGCCGGGGAGCCGCACGTGCACTGGCTTGCCCTTCCCAGTGGCCTTCCAGTACCCAGCGGTTGTGGATCGGTTGGATTGGCACCCTGATGGGTACTTGAGGTCACGGGACGTGAAGAAGAACCACTCGCCGCCGCCTGGAATAGGGCACACTGCTTTGGCTGGGAGTGGAGTAGAGGGAATGGTGAAAGAGGGAGAGGAGAGAGTGGAAAGGGCTAGATTGAGGTCGTGGGATGTGAAAAAGAACCACTCGCCGTCACCAGAAATAGGCCACACTGCTTTGGCTGGGAGTGGAGGAGAGGGAAAGGTGAAAGAGGGAGAGAAGAGAGCGGAAGAGAATAGATTGGGGTCACGGGATGCGACAAAGAACCATTCGCCATCTCCAGATATTGGGCATGTTGCTCTGGCTGGGAGTGGTGCAGAGGGAGAAAGGAGGCAGTAGAGGAATGAGTGGTGAAGCAGAGAAGAACCACTCGTCCCCAGGAATAGGGCAAGGTCAAGGTGGGAGTGAAGGAGAGGGAATAGTGCGATGGGGAGAGAGGAACTTAAGGCCGCTAGGAATGCAAAGAAGAGTGACTTGTTTTCAACGATTGCGTATGTTTGGAGTAAGGCGGTGGATAGAGTTGAGGATTAGATGAGCATGGGGAAGGGGTGCTTGAGGGCTCTAATCAAAGAGCCAGTCAACATTGGCAGCAAACAGCCAATGTGTGCTGGAAACAGCAAACAGCTAGAAGACTGGAATCAAACAAGTTGTTTGCTCCAGCTGGTAATGGAGGGGGGGGGGAGACAATGGGAGGATAAGAGGGAAAGAGAGGTCTTGTCAAGCAAAGTGGGCCAGTTTTTGTCAGCGCTGTGGGACCTGAAGAGGTGGAGTTTTTCTGTGAAGTCAAGATACCAGCCTATGTCGCTGGGGTGTTAATGGGACAGGGGGGGAGATGAGATGAGGTCAAGATAACCAGCCTATGTCGCTGGAGTGTTAACGGGACAGGGGGGGAGATGAGATGAGGTAAAGATAACCAGCCTATGCCGCTGGGGTGTTAACGGGACAGAGGGGGAGATGAGATGAGGTCAAGATAAGCAGCCTATGTCACTGGGGTGTTAACGGGACAGGAGGGGAGATGAGATGAGGTCAAGATAAGCAGCCTACGTCGCTGGGGTTTGGTGCTCTGGCGGTTAATGTGACAGGGGGGAGCTTCTTTTGCGTCTGCACCAGAAAGCATTTGATGGGGAACTTATAAATAACAAATTGCTGACAGGCGTAGTGAGGCTTGGTCCAGGGATTCTATTCTACTACTGAATCGTATGAGAGAGATATGAAAGGGGATGATTGGTACTCCAGATGCAGTGGCCTGGTAACATGACTGATTCAGACCGCTAGATTAGTACCGTGGAAATTGCATTTCCCCCTGTGTGCGTGCTACGTGTGGGGTCAACTTCGAGTCAGGGGGTCCGTTTACCAGAAAAAAACGCTAACCTAAAAGTGACCACAGGGTCACAACATGGTGCTAGTAGTGACCTAAGGGAAACCATCGGGTCAGGGACAGGTCACTTGGTAGTAGTGACCTTGGGGATCCCAAATTTCCATAGGTGAGCCTCAGGTCGTCAACTGTCTGCAGTAATACTCCTTCAAGGAGTAAAAAAACTACAAACACGCTACAAGACGGCTCACTCGCTACAAGATGGCTCACTCCCATGGAATCCCCCCATGCACCACGGCAGTCCAGCCTCCAAAGTCTCTCTGTTTGCAAGCTCGACCTCTTTCCAAGCTTGCGTTTCCTAAACGCTCGCATGGCACGAAGGTCTCATGCATGGCCGTCGCAAGCCCTAAGCTCAGAACTTACTGTACTGAGGTATCCTAGATTCAGCCCGTACTAGCTTGTGAATGCTACAAGAAAGTCGCGTCAGTCGCTCAGGGGGAGGAGAGGGGTTGAATTTACTTCCAAGGAAGTTATGTCAGTCACTCGAGCCCAACAAAATGTATAATAACAGTAACGGCCAAACCATAACGGGTTAAAGATCCTGAAGCCATCCAATCATTGCGTAGTGCTGAGCATCATTGGCGCTCATTTGGCCAATCAGAACTCATTTGTCATACTGGTATCTGTCATAAGCTGGGCTGCCGCCGCATTTGCGTAGTTACCCGTCACCAGAACTGGCCAATGAGGACGAATTTTCGCAAATCAGAGACTCTTCGACGAATTATCGAACTTTGATTCGTATGAAAGCAATCGCAGATAATTCGAAAGCATACCAGAAGGTGAGGGGGGAGGAGGGGGTAAGGAGAGTGGGAGAACGTGTACGGGAAATCCAGGCTGGGCCCAAACTCAGTCCTAACGAATCCAGGCTATGCCCGGGATGCACCCGGTTTGCCAGTTCTGAACCACGTCCTACATCGATAAAAAAACGGCAGACAGACCCGATTGACTCGAAGCTCTGTTTTGCCACCCGACCACGGCAGCTTCCTCCCTGGTGCGGCAGTCCGACTGCGGGTTACAGCTTTGTTCAACCCAAAAAACTGAACGCCAGAACTGCTTGGAAAATTAGGGATTCCCCAAACATTGGGGTTGTCCGCTCGTTTGCTCTTCGGCTGCCACGCAGGAGGGCGAAAGTCAGCTACGAACCGGAGCAAAACCACCACTTAGGCCATCAGATGCTGGACCTGAAAATGACAGAGACACACTGTGGTTCGCATTCAAAGTCTGATCAGGTCAGTCAAATCACAGACGCTGGAAAGCCCTGAAGGCTCATTTTCTATTTTAGAAATTCGGACTGCACCTGGAAATAAACGAGAAGCAATGGTGCTATTCGCCAGCATCTTTAAAGCCAAAACCCACGGGATAACGACGGGATCAGGAAGGTGGGCCTCGCCTTCCTGATCCCGTCAGTTAGGGTTCGTTTACATCCGTCAGCCTGGTCAGCCCGTACAAAATATGTCGAGCCTCCCCTACCGTCCAAACCAAAAACCAAAGTGGGGGTCTGGCGAAAGCCCCCATTTGTAATCAAATCGAACTGCTCGACGGCATAAAGAAGCGGGGTCGCAACTTCGTCCCCGGGCAAAATTCCCATCCCAAGCTATGCCATCGCCATCCCCCGTTTTTCAGAGGACAGCGATGGCAGAGCCGTTGCATTGCCGTTCAGAGGGGAACCTCTAAACGAGCCATTTGTTTGACAAATGGGGGTTCGTATACCCCCCATTTTTCCCCTCCCGAACACACCTTCGAATTGTGACTGGGCATATGCACGAGGTGGCGGGGGTTGTATTTGAGCAGTGTTGGGTTTTATTTGCGTTTTTTACCCACGTCGAACACTTTTTGGCCCGCCGGCAGGCTGTGGTCAGTGAAGCTAAAAGTTCGCGCCATTGGGGGGAAGGTGGGGATGGAGGTTCTTTATGCGGTTGCGTAATTTCGCCTTTCGGGCGCAGAAGTTTCTCGAGTGGCATTACGCCCAAACCTCGGAGGTGGGTTCCGCCTCCGTTTCCAGATGCGGTCGCGATGCCGACGCCATCTTTTTCATTTCAAATTACGATTTGCTGGCGAACAGCACCAATGTATGATTCACATTCAAAGTCTGATCAGGGTCAGAAAATACCCCAACTTGCGTCTGGGTCCGAGAACCATCCGAAAGGATACCAAAAGGTCCCAAACCGCACAGTACACCTGATGCGCAGTACAGTTTACACACCGACACTGCATTTCGCACGGATTCGTCAGCGTAGCAGCTAGCAAATTGGGCTTGTAAAAAACGCTCAAAGCTACCTGTTTGTTTGATGCATAACAAGGGAGGTTGACATACTTTGTTACATGTCGATCCTCTTTGTTATGATTGGTTCATCATCACGCAAGCAAGCAAGATGCCACATTATACCGTAGCATCCAGAATCCAGGTGCACACACAGGAATGGATTCAAAGTCATACTGATTAAGCACAGCAAGAGGTTCAAAAGAAAGCAAGCAATGCATGCTTGTGTATGCTCCTGTTCAATATCCAAAGCAAGCCAGGAAGTAAGGTGGAATGGCATGTCAGCGGAAGAAACAAACACAGGCACACAAAAACTCAGGAGTCCAAGTCAGGGTGACAGAGCAAAAGGGTAAGAGCCAACACCAAGGCCCCTCATCCATCCATAGTGTTGCCCGACTCAAAAGCCGCTTCAACGTGAGGTGAGTCACACATCTGAATTTGTGACTCTCAGCAAACGCCATAGCCAGATGCCTTTGCCAATGGGCGTGGCTATATAAGCGGATCCTCCTAGACAACCTTGGGAGGGCTTTGGGGGAGGACGGGGGGGAGGGCGAGGAGGTGGGGAAGGAGGCCTGGGAGGTGGGGGCGGGAGTGGGGGACTTGGGGGTGGGCGTGGGGGAGGGCGAGGGGGAGGGGATGGGGGCTTGGGGGGAGGTGGGTTTGGGGGAGGGTTTGGTGGGGGACGGGGTGGGGGAGACGGGGGCTTGGGGGCGGTGGTGAGGGTGGTTTGGCGGGGGGTTCGAGGGAGGGCGAGGGGGAGGAGAAGGGGGAGGAGGAGGTGGGGGATTCGAGGGAGGGCGAGGGGGAGGAGAAGGGGGTTTCGGGGGCCTTGGAGGGGGGCGGGGAGGGGGAGAAGGATTGTGGGGGGGACGCGGGGGAGGAGATGGGTTCGGGGGAGGCTTTGGGGGGCTTGGAGGGGGGCGGGGGGGCGGGCGAGGGGGAGGGGAAGGGGGAGGATTGGGGGGGGAGGGAGGGTGAGGCATGACTGCCTGGAAGCAGGGGGAGAGGTGGGGGAAGGAGAGGGTCTGATCAAAGTAAGAGAAGAAGAGAGTGTAGGAGGGAGAGGAGACAAAGTCAAGAATGTGAGTGGTGTCAGTAGTAGGAGAAGCAGGGGCAGTGGTGGTTTAAGTGGCAGGGGCAGGGGCAGCAGCGGTGGCAGTGGGAGTGGAGGGGGAGGAGGAGAAGGAGGACCAGGTGTTGAAGGGCACGGGAAGCTGAGAGCCGTTGGATCGGAAAGCAGCAGTGAGATTCCAGCAGTGTGATGGCAGCTGCGATGCAAATGACATGTGTGCCCACCTCCCGCTGCCGCTGGTACTGCGAGGGCAGACCTGCAATTATGGCCATGCACATGGCAGGTGGGGATGGAAGAGGATGAGTTGTTGGTTCAGGAAAATTATCACCAAGATGAGTTCTTGACAAAGGCACTTATGAACTTCCTAATGATGGTCGGCGTCCGTTCTGTACGGTGAGCCCAGCAATTTGCAGGACAAACACTCACTATTCAAACTGACAACCATTCATTGCTCCTCGTTCCGCCCTTCCTCCTCGCTCTGCCCTTGCTCCTCGTTCCGCCCTTGCTCCTCGTTCCGCCCTTGCTCCTCGTTCCGCCCTTGCTCCTCAATCCGCCCTTGCTCCTCATTCCGCCCTTGCTCCTCATCCCCCACTGTTCACGCTACTGTATCCCCACTCCCCACTATTCACCCTCTGCTTCCCACACTCACCATCCCCCACTGTTCACCCTCCGCCCTTTCTCCTAATTCCGCCCTTCCTCATTCCGCCCTTCCTCATTCCGCCCTTCCTCATTCCGCCCTTCCAAATTCCGCCCTTGCTCAATCCGCCCTTGCTCCTCATTCCGCCCTTGCTCCTCGTTCCGCCCTTGCTCCTCGTTCCGCCCTTGCTCCTCATTCCGCCCTTGCTCCTCATCCCCCACTGTTCACGCTACTGTCTCCCCATTTCCCACTGTTCACCCTCCACTCCCCACACTCACCATCCCCCACTGTTCACCCTCCGCCCTTCCTCCTAGTTCCGCCCTTCCTAATTCCGCCCTTGCTCATTCCGCCCGCCCTCTATCCGCGCTTCCGCCTCAATCCACCCTTGCTCCTCGTTCCACCCTTGCTCCTCGTTCCACCCTTGCTCCTCGTTCCGCCCTTGCTCCTCGTTCCACCCTTGCTCCTCCTTCCGCCCTTGCTCCTCGTTCCGCTGTTGCTCCTCATTCCGCCCTTGCTCCTCATCCCCCACTGTTCACGCTACGGTTTCCCCATTCCCCACTGTTCACCCTCCGCTTCCCACACTCACCATCCCCCACTTATCCCTTGTATTCACCCTTCCCCCACTGCTCCCCTGCACTCACCTCTGCCACAATTGCTAAACCATGTGCCATCCCGTCACACCTGCCATCCTGCCGTCCCACCCCACCCCACCCATCCTTGCGCAGGTGGCGTTCTCTTCTCTCCTGCGGGGCGCCGTGAAGAGACACTCTCTTGCCGCCAAGACATAGCAAGTAAATACATGCGTAGGGTATTAATTAGTGTAGGAACATAAAAATAGGAGAGCGTTTGTACTTGTGTGCGTGTGTTGACATAAGGGGTGTCGGGAGGTTTGGGCTAGGCCCGGGGGGGAAGGGAAGCATTTGGGTTAGAATTCCAGCCCATGCAAGCCTGTCGGGTCGGGGCCTGGTTCGTTCGGTTCGGAGAGGTCCGGGGCGACCCGGGGAGGTAAGGCCCAGACCAGGGGAGGTCAGGCCAGGCAGAAACAGCAGGAAGAGAAACAGAAGAAAGAGGAAGAAACAGGAGGAGAGAGATAGGGGCAGAAGAGCAAGAGAAACAGGGACAGGGGCGGAAGAGCAAGTGACACGCACAGGCACACACAGGCAACGAGCAACACGACGACTTTTCAAAACTCCTTTTTCCTACAGATAAAGAGGGCAAAGTTTGCAAATAGGGAGTGGGTGAAACAGAAGCCAGAGGAACGGTTGGTCGGGCCTGGCGTTCCCATCCCAGGGATGTGTGTGGTGTGGTGAGGGTGTGGGGCAATGTCACGGGGTTCTGTTCTGTGAGGGGGGCTGTGAGGGGGTGTGAGGGGATTGGGGGGTAGGGGGGCCTTAGGGGGACTTTGGGGGGGGCTATGGGGGGGTTTTCCCACCGCACCACCTCTACTGTACTCTGTTGCCTCTTTCCTATTCATTACCAAATCTGCTCTCATCATGTTCACCTGTTAACATACATTTCACCATTTGGGCTTTTGAGGGGAAGGGGTGGCTTTGAGGGGGGTTGGACTTTTTCCACCACCTTTCCATGTATCAAGGTTCAAAAGAAAGACAGCATTGCATGATTGTGGATCATGGCATGGCAACCCCTAATGGGTATCTAAAGCAAGCAAGCAGGCAAGGTCACATGGCATGCCACAACTCAGGAGTCCAGTTCAGGGTGACAGAGCAAAAGGGTAAGAGCCAACACCAAGGCCCCTCATCCATCCATAGTGTTGCCCGACTCAAAAGCCGCTTCGACGTAAGGTGAGTCACACATCTGAATTTGTGACTCTCAGCAAACGCCATAGCCCAGATGCCTTTGCCAATGGACGTGGCGATGTAAGCGGAGCGTCCTAGACAACCTTGGGCGGGCTTGGGGGAGGGCGGGGGGGAGGGCGAGGCGGGGGGGAAGGAGGCCTGGGGGGTGGGGGCGGGCGTGGGGGACTCGGGGGCGGGCGTGGGGGAGGGCGAGGCGGGGGGGAAGGAGGCCTGGGGGGTGGGGGCGGGCGTGGGGGACTCGGGGGCGGGCGTGGGGGAGGGCGAGGCGGGGGGGAAGGAGGCCTGGGGGGTGGGGGCGGGCGTGGGGGACTTGGGGGCGGGCGTGGGGGAGGGCGAGGGGGAGGGGATGGGGGCTTCGGAGGGGGTGGGTTCGGGGGAGGGTTGGGCGGGGGGCGAGGTGGGGGAGACGGGGGTTTGGGGGGCGGTGGTGAGGGGGGCTTTGGTGGGGGGTTCGGGGGAGGGCGAGGGGGAGGAGAAGGGGGGGGAGGAGGTTTCAGGGGATTGGGGGGAGGGCGAGGGGGAGGAGAAGGGGGTTTGGGGGGGCTTGGAGGGGGGCGGGGAGGGGGAGAAGGATTTGGAGGGGGACGGGGGGGAGGAGAGGGGTTTGGAGGAGGCCTTGGGGGGCTTGGAGGGGGGCGGGGGGGTGGGCGAGGGGGAGGGGAAGGGGGAGGGTTGGGGGGGGAGGGAGGGGGAGGCATGACAGCCTGGAAACAGGGGGAGAGGTGGGGGAAGGAGAGGGTCTGATCATAGTAGGAGAAGAAGAGAGTGTAGGAGGGGGAGGAGACAAAGTCGAGAATGTGAGTGGTGTCAGCAGAAAGTGAAGCAAGGGGGGAAGAAGCAGGGGCGGTGGAAGTTGAAGTGGCAGGGGCAGGGGCAGCAGCGGTGCCAGTGGGAGCACCGGGGGAGGAGGAGAAGGAGGACCAGGCGTTGAAGGGCATGGGCAGCTGAGAGCCGTTGGATCGGAGAGCAGCGGTGAGATTCCAGCAGTGTGATGGCAGCTGCGAGGCAAATGACATGTGCGCCCACCCCCCTGCTGCCGCTGGTGCGAGGGCAGACCTGCAAGCATGGCAAGTTACATGGCAGGGAGATTGGAGAGGAAAGGTTGCTGAAGTTGGGAGATCAACACCATGAGTTCTTGACAAAAGGAAAAAAGGGGATGTATCCATATGATAATTGGCACCCTGATTTTTTTTTTTTTTTTTTTTTTTTTTTTTTTTTGTGAGCCCAGAAACTTGCGGGACAAGCACTCATTGTTCAGAACTGGCACCCATGCATCACTCCACTTCTTCACTCACCAGTCCACAGCGACAGTGAGCTTGGCGCAGGTTTCGCTGGTGAAGAGCGGGCGGCCAGGCGCGAGAGCAGCGGAAGGCACGGCGGTTACGGGCAGCATGTGGTTACCAGCGCTGCTGTAGATGGCCTCCGGCTGCTCGTCCCCATCATCATCCACCAGGAAATCCGGCAGCCCGTCGTCTGAATGGACAGGTCAGACATTGAGAGGATGGGTTGGGTGACAGGTGGATTAAGCAGTGAAAAGATATGATAGAATGGGATTGGATGGGATGGGATGGGATGGGATGGGATGGGATGGGATGGGATAGGATGGGGACATGGCAACGATTCGAGCCCTGCTCATCCCTGTTGTCGCTACAGCACGAAATCCTGTTGGCCAACGTCACCGATGCCGGGTGATACCAGGACGGATGGTTTTTTTAGGCGTCACAACAAACATATTTTTCCTGTTTCCTTTGTTCTTTTTTCCCCCACCGGAAATCGGTAAACCAGCGTCACTTGTGAGCGGGGGCCTTACCTGAAGCAGCGTCGGGCAGATAGACGACGTGCACGAGGTTGTGAATGTCAACCGACTCGAGAATGGGGGAGAGGCCGGTGAGCGGGGAGGAGGAGGTGGTGGTGGTGGTGGTGGTGTTGGTGGTGGTGACTGTATCGAATGTGCCTGTGAGGCTGGCCTCTATGGTCCAGCGCACCATGGCTGTAGCAGATGGAGGGATGCTGCCCACCTGGGGGAGAAGAGGAGAGGGGAGGAGGGGGTGGGGGGAGAGATGGAGGAAAGGAGGGTGGGTGAGAAAGAGAAGATGGAGGCTGGCCTCTATGGTCCAGCGCACCATAACTGTAGCAGATGGGGGGATGCTTCCCACCGTAGAGAGAGAGGGGGGATGGGCCGAGAAGAAGGGACGGGTCATGGTAGGAATAAGCAAGTGAAGCATGTGTGTGTGTGTGTGTGTGTGTGTGTGTATGTGTGTGTGTGTGTGTGTGTGCGCGCGTGTGTGTGTGTGCATACGTGCGTGTATGTGCGCGCGGATGTGTGTGTGTGTGTGTGTGTGCACATGCGTGTGTGTGTGTGTGTGTATGCGTGTGTGTGTATGTATGCATGCATGCGTGTGTCCACATAAGCATGTCCACATAAGAATGTCCACATAAGCATGTCCACATAAGCATGTCCACATCAGCATGTCCACATCAGCATGGCCACACACCTTCATGGAGAAGGATGCCGGCTGTGGCTCCTCTCCCAGAACGGTCTTGGTGATGCTCAAACTTACTCGTGGATACATGTGCATGCGCATCTTTGTTTCACATCTGAATGCACACACACCTTCACAGAGAACGATGCCGGCTGCGGCTCATTGCCCAGCACTGTGCTGGTGATGCTGAAACTCATTGCCGCACTGCTCGTGTCACCCGTTGTAGTAGTAGCGCCCACGTCAGCAGCGGCGGGTGCGCCGGCAGTGGTGGTGGTGGTGGTGGCAGCAGTGGGCAGCAGTGACTGTGTGGCGACAGCAGCAGCTGTGCCGTGACCCGAGTTGTGGAAGAGTGCTGCTAGCGTCACTGGCACTGGTGCCTCCACCTGTGGGGCGTTGGGGAGAGAAGAAAGAAAGGGAGGAGGGATTGAGGGAGTGAAAGGGCAGTGATTGGATTGAGAGTGCTGCTAGCGTGACTGGACCTGGTGCCTCCACCTTTTTAGGGAGAGAGAGGAGGGAAAAAGAGAGGAGGGTTAGAGCGTGACTGGCACTGATACCCAACCTGTGGGGTGTTGGGGAGAGGAGGGAGAAAGGGAGGAGGGATAGAGGGAGTGAAAGAGCGAGGAGCGAGGAGTTGTGGAAGAGTGCCGCGAGCGTAGCTGGCACTGCTGCCTCCACCTTTTCATGCGGAAGAGAGAGAGAGTGAGTATGCGAAAGAGAGGCACACAAGTCACCGTTGATATCCTTGACGCCAGAAACAGTCACGCAATTTGCCCCACTTGCCGATCCCCCACGCCCGCTCCCCCATGCTCGCCTGAGGAGTGGTGAGGTCGTCTCCTTGCACGTGGCGGGGCACAAAGTAGTGCACTTGCAGCTTGGGTGAAGGGACCACCGTCACTCGCACACTCGTCAGCTCCACCTTCTTAACCACTGGCGCTGGTTCGGATGCTGGTGCTGACGTGGCAGTTGCAGTGGAAGATGACGTGGATGATGATGCAGGCAGGGTGTAGTGCAGGGTGCTGGCGAACTTGAAGTTGGTGGGAGTGGCAGGCGCGGCGCAGTCCAGAGCGAGGAGCAGCCAATCAACGCCCGCTGATGTGGCAGGAGGGAGGGTGCCTGGGGAGAAGGAAAAAGGGGAGAAACGAGGGAAAGAAAAACAAAGAGAATGACAAAATTTTAGTGACCAAGTGCCTGAAGTTGGCCTTGCTCCTGCCGAAGTCGTGGCTTTAATTCACCAGCTGATTGATCCAGCCGCGTGACCAGAGCTTGTGGACGCTCGAGTGGGGTGCGGTGCGGACAAAAGTCTTGGAGGAGGATTTTTGTCGACGCCAATTATGGGGTGGAGACGACAGCGGCTGCGGCTGCGGTTGCGACATGCAAGAGAGCTGACGTGACAAATGACGTGACTCGTGTGGTGCAGGACCTAATGCGAAGAAGGACAGCGACTCCAACGACTGACAAACAGGTACCGGTTGGGGTTGCGGAGGAAATATGGACTTGAGGTCAGTTTGGTTGCTGGTGGCGAAATGAAAGAGAGAAACTCGTATTGTGAGAAGAAGAGGACAATCAGCACCGGCAGAGGTGGTAATCTCACGTGCAACGCTGACATTATTAATCTCTTGCAGAAGTTGGTCACTAAAGGCAAAAGAGTGCGTCGAGCATATTGCGCATCCCCGTGATTGCTATCAACCCACTTGTGGCACCACTCTCACCTGCACCGCTGACGTCGTCAATCCCCTGCAGCAGTGGGTCGCTGAAGACGAAGCAGTGCGAGGCGTCGGTGCCGTTGGGGTAGGTGATGCGTGCTGTCACTGCCACGTCAGCCATGGGTCGATCCTCCATGTTGGACACGTACACGTGTGCTCGCACCTGCACCATTGAAGGGGAGGGGGAGAGGGAGACGGGGATAAGGGAGATAAGGGCAGTTACTGGCTAATCCAACACCCTTGGGGGGATCCTCCATGTTGGACCCGTACACGTGTGCCTGCACCTGCAAAGAGGGGAGGGAAGCGGGGGGAGGTATGGAGGCAGGGGAAGAGGGAAGGGGGGTCAGAGGAAAGTAAGGCAGTTGTTGTTGTGAGCTGATAATCAAACACCCATGGGATGATCCTTCATGAAAGGCACATACACCTGCGTGTGCACCCATGAAAGGGAACAAGGCGGGCGGACAGCCGCTCCGATAGCACCGCTGCCCCCTCGGTGGTTCCAGTGGCTCCGGTGGCTCCGGTGGCTCCGGTGGCTCCGGTGGCTCCGGTGGCTCCGGTGGCTCTAGTGGCTCTAGTGGCTCTAGTGGTGGCAAGAGCATCGTGAGATGAGAAAGAGGGTTGGCTGCTCTGACAGCACTCCTAATGCACACAAAACTGGGTGCTAGCACGCCCGACTTAACTCACCACAGGTCGGAAAGCAACGATGCAGCGGCGCCCCACGAAGGAATGGGGCTTCGAGGCAGTGGTGGCGGAGAAGTATTGCGTTGACTAAAAGTCCACTCACCACGGGGCGGGAAGCAACGATGCGGCGGCGCCCCACAAAGGACTGCGGCCCCGAGGCGGTGGTGGGGGTGAAGCGGAACTCCACTGTGCCGCGCGTGGCATCGGGAGACAACTCTGACAGCACCGCCGCCCCCCCGGCTGTTCCGGTGGTGGCAAGAGCATCGGTAGATGAGAAAGAGGTGGCGGTGGTTGTGGTGGCGGTGGTGGTGTCGGTGGTGGTGGTGGGAGTGGTGGTGATGGGTGTGGTGGTGGTGAAGAGGGAAAGATCCGTTTCGTTGGAGTATGCAAAGGCGCTCGTCAGCTCTGCCGTTACGTTGGTCGTTTCCAGGAAAGTTCCTGAGAGGAGGTGTGTGGAAAGGGGGGAGGGCGTTAGAAAGAGAGGCTAGCTAGAGAGTTCAAACTGCCTGTGTTGTATCCAAAGAGTGAAGCAAAATTCCTTAATGCGCATCGCATATCATAGTTACACACCCCACGTCTCCCGCCCTTCTTCCCTCCATCCTTGACTCACCTCCCATGATGCTGGTGGATGATAAGCTCGCTCGCTGCCCACAACATTGAAGTGAGAGAAGGGGACTTGCCTGCCGATACCCTATATTGCCAGACATTCAAAATCTCTATTCACATCACACACTCCCTATCCCTCTCACTTCCCACGAAGCTGAGCTGGTGGCTGATGTGTCGCTCGCTCGCCACAACGATGAAGTGAGAGAAGGGCACTTGCCTGCCGATACCCCTTCATTGCCACACACTCAAATTCCCTATGCACACATTCAAATTCTCTATTCACACACTCCCTATCCCTCTCACCTCCCACGAAGCTGAGCTGGTGGATGATGTGTCGTTCGCTCGCCATGTCCTGCCCCCACCACGTGCCACCTGTGAACCCCACGGACGCTGACGTGGCGCCGAGGATGGTTTCAATGTCCACGTGGGCAGTGAGCGTTGGTACACCTGGCTTGACCTTGGACGATCCCCCCAGGAACACGTTGAGGGTCTGAGACGCCCCCTCGTAGCTCACCCAGGCGTACTGCTGGGTGTTGAGTGGGAAGGCCTGGTGGGAAGGTAGGGAAGCAGGGAGGTGGGGAGAGAGGGAGGGAGGGAGGGAGGGAGGGAGGGAGGGAGGGAGGGAGGGAGGGAGGGAGGGAGGGAGGGAGGGAGGGAGGGAGGGAGGGAGGGAGGGAGAGAGAGAGAGGGAGGGAGGGAGGGAGGGAGGGAGGGAGGGAGGGAGGGAAGAGGAGAGGGAGAGACACGTGAGATGAGAGAGAGGGTAGTCTCCAGTTCACCTGGACGTTCCTCCAAAAACACGTTGAGGGTCTGAGAGCCCCCATCGCATCTCGCCCAGGCGTACTGTTGAGTGTTGAGATGGAAGGCCTGGGGGGGTTGAAGGGGTCTGGGGGAATGGAGTGGAGTGGGGTGGAGAGGAATTATGGCACAAACACATGCAAGGAAGCAGATAAGTGTGTTACTTTTGAGAATTCTCAAAAGTAACACAAATATAGCAGATAAGGCGTGCTACTTTTGAGAATTCTCAAAAGTAACACAAATATAGCAGATAAGGCGTGCTGCTAGGCGTTGAGAGAAAAAGGCTGGCGGGAAATTAAAGAGGGAGGGAGGGGAGATGCGGCGGTGAGCTTTTGAGAATTCTCAAAAGGGCCACACTCCCCCTCCGTTTACGGGCAGGCAGTAAATGTCCAAGAATTATGGCTTCAGATACCAAAAGCAAGGAGCAGCCGACTCCCAAGGAAACTTAGGGGAAAAAAAAAAATGAAAAAAAGAGGGCCTTTGGAACACAAGCAAGGCGAGCGCACGCACCTTCTCTGGGGGCAGAACAGTGTAGAACTCGGCTCCAGCACAACCGTCTCCCGCCACGACTCCCTTAGAGGAGACGGCTATACAGGGTACGGGGCACAGGCGGAACTCCACTGCCACACTCTTGAGGAACACGCCTCCTGCTGACCCATAGCCCAGGGAACTGAGAGGGGAGAAAAGAAGCGGGCAACGGGAGGAAAAAGAAAATGAGACGGCTTTACAAGGGACAGGGCAGGGGCTCAGTTGCGGAAGACGCAGGGACCGTCCTGCGTCTAGCGTCTAGACGCAGCGTTTAGACGCTAGACGCAAGACGCACGTTTAGACGCTAGACGCATGTGGCAATTTTTTTCGGGCAGCCCGAAAAAAAATCGCGTGCGCGACATTGAATTTCGCGATTTCGACGCGAAATTCAATTTCGCAACATTTGAACCCCCTCCCACCCATTTCGACAATGAAAAACAGCCCCCCCAACCAACTTTTGTTACCTACCCCCAACCCAAATTGCCACCTCAAAGGTCTTTGTGGACCACCACCAAAGGCATATAGGAGCACAACCACCTCATCTGTGCTCCTCGTATCTAGTCCAACTCATTTCTCCTTCAAAAGCCCTTGGGGTTTACACGCTAACTCAATTCTCCTTCAAAAACCCTCAACCCTTTTTGCCAAAATGTGTGCAATGTCCTTCTCCCCGCCCTCTCCACGCCCTATAAGAGGGTTTTTTCGCTGCCCGGACGTTTTTTTTAGGCCTGCCCGGGTTTTCGTCTAATATGCGTCTAATCTGGCCTGAAATGCGTCTAGCGTCTTAGACGCTGCGTCTAGACGCAACCGTCTAAGACGCTAGACGCGTCTTCCGCAACATAGGGCAGGGGGTATGGGGCACAGGTGAAACCACTGCCACAGTCTTGAGGAACACCCCTCCTGCCGACCCGTTCCCAGGGACCTGCAAGGGGAGAGAAAAAGGGTGGAAGGAAGTGAGGGATAGGGGATGGACATTTCTGTGCTATTGGGGCACAGGCGGAAGTTTATGGTCACACTCTTGAGGAGCGCCCCTCCTGCCGACCCGTAGCCCAGGGAATTGCGAGGGGGAGAGAGAGAGAGTGAGACGGATGAAAGCTAGTCCAAAATGCGACACTGAGACGGCTTAATTAGGGGCGGGGCACAGGTAAATCTCCACTGCCACACTCTTGAGGAACGCCCCTTTTCCCGAACCATAGCCCAGGGAACTGCAGAGGGAGAGAGAGAAGCATGACAACAAATGAGGGAAAGGGTGAGTGAGACAGCTACGCAAGGCATGTTGACTTTTGAGTCGGCTCAAAAGTCAAGGTATGGGTCACAGTCAGAACCTGACTCTACTCTGTACTGTCCACCCCAACTGGGGCCTTCACCACGCAGCACCAGCCAGCACCAGCCAGCACCACCAAGCACCCCTCTGCACAATTTGGCACCAGTCAGCACCGGCAAGCACCACCCAGCAGCACCCAGCACCTTGCGTTTTGTGGTCCGACAGCAGTTGCTGGGCCGCTGGTGAGCACAAAGGTGAATCCTCTACCCGTCACCTGCCAGTTTGGGGAAGCAGAAGAAAGAGAGTTGAAGGGGATCGAGAGGAGAAAACAGGTATAGAAGGCAAGGTTGTAAGAAAGCAAGAGTGCAAGGGTGAAAGGGTGGGACTCGCAACGAGATTGCAGCACAGGGATCGAAGAGGAAGGTGAAGGGGAAGAGAGAGAGGTGCGGAGGGAGAGAGGTGCGGAGGGAGAGAGGTGCGGAGTGCAAGGGTGCTATAGGTATAGCATAACCCTGAAAGGGTGCAAGAGTGCAAGGGTGCAGAGTGCTAGAGTGCAAGGGTGCTATAGGAATAGCATAACCCCGAAAGGGTGCAAGAGTGCAAGGGTGCAGAGTGCTAGAGTGCAAGGGTGCTACAGGTATAGAATAACCCCGAAAGGGTGCAAGAGTGCAAGGGTAAAGAGTGAGCATCTTACCGGGCGGGATAGCAGCACATGTTGGTGCAACCCTACGGTTTGCACTCGGCTTGTTGTCCGTGTGCGTGAATGTGTGTGTGTATGGAATGGTATGAGGGCATGGGATAATATATATTTCATGCTTATAATTGTGTGTGAATGTTGAGTCATGATGTCGAGTGTGCGTGTCGAGTCAATAGCGAGTTATCGCTAGACGCGTGTTACGCGGTCGTTTGTGTCTCGCGCGCGGTTTCTATTTTGTCGTGCGCGGTTTCTATTTTGTCCTGTGTCGAACGTTCGGCGTGTCGCAGGTGTGTGCAGCAGACCCATCAAGAACTCAAGGATGAGTTTGTGATGAAGAGCCCGAGCCTTGGTGTCAAGCCTCAAGTGATTTCGAAGCTTGCCAAAAGGGTACACCTCAAGATATTGAAGATAGTTACATTACTTTGTGTAGTGTAACATTTCACTTGGTGTAGGCCCTAGTGAAGGGTAGTTTCGAGACCCTTCGTGGTTGGGGACAGTGTGGCACTGTTCCACATCACTGTACCTCGGCTCTTGGGGTTTGTAGGAGCTGGGAGTCATTCCCAACTCGTAACTCTTCCTATCTTGTGTTCTAAGACTATAGTGGCTGCCATAGTACCGTTCGTTCAAACCGACGCTGTGTCGTCAATTCTTTATCAAATCGTGCAATCTAAATTGATAATTGTAGACGACGTGAAGACGCTCCAGATCCAATTTGAATCAAGTCATTTGCAGCTATGAGCAGAACGCTATCAACGTTTGAAGCCGCTGTGCAGAAATCCGTCTGTGCTCTCTATCTTTCGTTTTAGGCACATTCAAGCCTATTGTGACTATAACAAGTGGTATCAGAGCCCCTTGAAGCAGTTTCGACAATGTCTGGACCTGAGGAGAGGGGTGGCAGAGGTGCTGGTGGCAGTGGAGAAGCTCAAGCTCAAGGCCAACCCCGTGATTCAGCCATGGCGCCCATGCAACCAAGTCTTGGCCCACCTAGGGATGAGCCTAGGGTGTTTGGGCTTGACAAGTTCAACGGTGACAACTTTGCTGAATGGTCCTTCAAGATGGAGAACATCTTTGACCACTATGACCTGCTGGAGGTGATGGAAGGAACGGAGAAGCGCCCCGAGAACGACCCGGAGAAGAGCCCGTGGGTGCGGAAGAGCGCACAAGGCTATCTCTTACTTGGGCAAGCGTTGGGGAGCAGTCAGATCCGTCACATCAAGCCATTCCAGCGTGAACCAGAGAAAGGACCAAAGGCATGGGCTGCTCTCAAGGGTGTACAAGCTCCTGCAACAGCGGCGGTAGCGGTGGTGTTGGAACGGCAAATGGCGGCGCTACGAATTGAAGAAGACGAAGCGGTTGAAGAAGGGGTGCAGAAATTCTTCGACTTGTTGACGCGGCTTGAGGGAGCTGATTTGAACTACAGTGAGCTCCAAAAAAAGACCAAGTTGCTGGCCTTACTCCCAGAGTCATGGTCCTCGCTCATCATCAACCTTAATTGCGACTTGCCCCGCCTCTCGCTTGAAGACGTGAAGCGAGCTATCCTTCAAGAGGATTTCCGCCGCCGTGAGTTGGCGAGTGCGGATGGCGCTGGGGCAGCGAGCATCGGCCGTGGATATGGTCGAGGAAGAGGCAGAGGACGAGGGGGAGGAAGGTTTGGTGGCAGCAACTTCGGCGGAGGCCGCAGAAGTGGCGGTTATGGCAGCGACGACAAGAGCTACGGACGCGGTCGCGGCCGATTCGACGGCGAGTGTCACTATTGCCACAAGAGCGGACACATGTGGCGCGACTGCTACAAACTCCCATATGGTTGGACCCCTGCTCAAGGCCAAGAGGGTAGAGGAGCAGGAGGAGGGAGAGGACGAGGTCGTGGAGGCCGTGGCGGTCGCGGTGGCGGAGCTGCAAACATGAAGAGCGGAGACAACGACAAGGACCCGAGCGACGATCGATACCCGGGTCTATTCTACTTCGTGTCGACGCAAGTACCGGCTGGTCCAGAGAAGGATGAAGGCTTTGAGGAGCCAGCAGCTGTGGGGAAGGTGACCCTACACCCCCTGGACTATTGGGTGATTGATAGTGGCGCTACCTATAGCATGACACCTCGCCCGGACTTGCTCACCGAACTCGAGCCGTCACCGGTGAAGCATGTCACATCGGCTTTGGGGCAGCGAGCAGAGGTGAAAGGTATGGGCAAGGCCATGTTCAAGGGTGCTGATGGGAAGATGGTGGGCCTCAAGAACGTGTTTTGGGTGCCCAGCCTTGCTGCAAACCTGATTTCCGTGCGGCGGTTGGCAAAGGCCGGCATGGACACGAACTCGAAGGGAGCCAAGACCTACACCGCAAGGCTTGGCGATCGAATTCTTTGGGACCTTCATGAGGACAGGGATGTCTACAACGAGATGTGGCAGATCCCAGTGGTCCCTATGCCTAAGGAGAGGCAAGTGGCAGCAAGCATCAGCACCAAGGATGGAGCGGTCGGTAGCGACGATGGCGCGAACGGTCGCGCTAAGGAGAATGAGCTCAAGAAGAGCAAACCTGGAGGGACCAGCAAGTTCAGTGAACCTAAGGAGAGTGGTGCAGCAACCAAGGAGCAGCAAAAGGGTGAGGAGAACCCAGAGGCAGCAGCGAAGGAGGACTACGGAGAGAGTATGTGGGGCGCTATTGCGAGCGCGGCATTCTCCAATCCAACTTCGGCTACGGGGGAGTGTGATTGGCTCACCTTGCATCGGCGCATGGGGCATGTGGCCCTGCCCATCTTGCAGCAGCTAGTGAAGAATGAGATGGTTGCTGGCATACGTGTGAAGGGGGAGCCCGATGAGGTGCTTGGCTGCCCGACGTGCATTCAAGCCAAGTTCACCCGGTTTCCGTTCCCTAGTTCGGAGGCAACGGCAAAGGCACCGCTTGATGAGGTGGTGATGGACGTGGTGGGCCCCCTGAAGCTTGGAGCTGCTGGAGCTGAGTATTTTCTCACCATTGTCGACGTCTACACCCGCATGACTTGGGTGTACGTGCTGGCCAAGAAGAGCGACGTGGCTGAAACGTTGAAGACGGATTGGTTCCCGATGGTGGAGCGGCAACAAGACCGTCTAGTCAAGTCAATCCGCACCGATCGAGGGGGAGAGTTCCTGAGCAAGGAGTTTGGGCTGTGGCTGAAGAAGAATGGTATTCGGCACTCCCTCACTATGCCATACTCCCCTGCAATGAACGGCATCGCCGAGCGAGCGAACCGCACAATCACGGAAGCGGCACGCGGGTTGCTCATTGAAGCCGGGCTACCCGACTATTTCTGGCCTGATGCGGTGCGGAGCGCGTGTGTGGCCAAGAACAGAGCCTTGACTCATGTGGGAGCAGACAAATGGGTGTCCTATGTGGAGTGGCTAGGAAGGAAGCCAAAGGTGGATATGCTTCGGGTGTTCGGGTGCATGTGCATGGCGCTCGTGCCTAAGCATCTTCGGCACAACAAGCTTAGTGCCAAGGCGGTGTGGGCCGTGCACTTGGGCATGGCTCAAAACAGCAAGGGATGGCTTATTTGGGACCCATTCACCAAGAAGTTCTTGGTGAGCAGGGACTGCAAGTTCATGGAGAACTTCATGTACAAGGATTGGAAGGCGGAGAATGAGGCGAAGATAGGCGTGCGGTTTGGGGAGGTGAAGAGTTCCGGTTTGGAGCATGTGGAGCTGCCTTTGGAGCTGAGCAGCGGCAGCACAACCACAAGGCAATCCTCCCTTGTGAATGGGGGAGAGGAGGCCAATGATGCAGAGGAAGAAGAGGAGGAGGTGCAGCAAGTGAGCGAGCGTGCACCGTCACTCCCTTCCCGTACTACGAGTGCTCCACGGATTCGAGCCACACCGCAGCAACGCCAAGGCCTTCAAGTCCCTGCAGCTGAGGAGGAAGGAAGGGGGAAGAGGAGAGTTCAACCCCCTAATAGGCTGACCTATGATGCGCCGGGAAAGCAGGGCAAGACAGCCCTGGCCGGAGCGGCAATGATGGTCGGAGACGACGAGGAGAGTGACTACGAGGAGTGTGCCTTCGCGTTCTTCTCTCCGGTGGAGATGCCGGGAGAACCAGCAACTCTCAAGGAGGCTTTGGAGAGTAGTGATTCTGAGGAGTGGAAGAAGGCCGTGGAGAGTGAGCTGAAGAGCATCGAGGAGAATGACACGTTTGAATTGGTGGAGCTACCGGAGGGGCGTACGGCGATAACGTCCAAGTGGCTCTTCAAAATCAAGTCGGATGCCGACGGCAAGATCGAGCGCTACAAGTCTAGGCTTGTAGCCAAGGGGTACCAGCAGAAGGAGAAGGTGGACTTCAAGGAGCTGTTTGCCCCTGTGGTGAAGCCGACGACGCTGCGAACCCTATTCGCGGGAGCCGCCATCAAAGGATGGGTAGTAAAGCAAATGGACATCGTAACGGCATTCCTTAACGGCATCCTTGAGGAGGAGATTTTTATGGCGCAGCCAGAGGGGTTTGATGATGGTAGTGGCAGAGTGTGGAAGCTGAAGAAGGCCCTCTATGGGCTGAAGCAGGCCCCTAGGCAATGGTACATGAAGCTGCGCGAAGTGTTGGAGGGGATCGGCTTCACTCCC